CATTCCTCCAAAAATTTTTATTAAATCATGTAGAATTAAAATGACTTTTACTATATTCAAAGGTATGTAACCATCACCCTGATCAATCTTAAAATATTTTCGTCACTTCAAAAAGAAACTCTGCACCAATTAGCTGTAGCCCCTTAATGTGACTTCTCCCACCCTCAGCCCTACGTACTACTAATGTACTTTATGTCTATAGATTTGCCTATTCTGGATATTTCATATAAGTGGAATCATATAATATACGGTCCTTTGTGAGTGTCTTCTTTCGCTTAGGATAATGTTTCTCAGATTCCTCCATCTTGTGGCATGTATCAGTATTTCATTTTTTTTTTATAGCCAAATAGTATTTTATAGCATGGACATACTATCTTTTACTTATCCATTTATCAGTTGGTAGACATATGAGTTGTTTCCACTTTTTGGCTATTATGAATAATGGTTCTATGAACATTTATGAACAAATTTTTGGGTGGACTTAAGTTTTCCTGTGTCTTGCTTGTGTACCCAGGACTATAATTCTGGGTGATGTGATAACTCTTTGTTTAACATTTTGAGGAACTCCCAGATTGTTTTTCAAAGTGGCTGCAGCATTTACATTCCCACCAGCAGTTCATGAGGGTTTCAATTTCTTCACATCTTTACCAACACTTGTTATTATTTGAATTATTGGTAATAGCCATCCTAGTGGGTGTGAAGTGGTATCTCATGTGGGTTTGATATGCATTTCCCTGATGGCTAATGATGTTGAGCATCTTTTCATGTACTTGTTGGCCATTTGTATATCTTATTTGGAGAAATGTCTATTTTGACTGTTCATTTTTAATTAGTTTGTTTATCTTTTAATTATCAAGTTATAAGAATTCTTTATAATATATTCTGATATAAGTCTTGTACTAGATGTATGATTCTGAAGACATTTTCTTCTGTTCTTTGTGTTGTCTCTTTGATTTAAATTCAAATTCCATTCCAACAAAGCAAACCAAACAACTAATGTCTAGCTTTAGCTTCTGGGAAATTAGGTTCTCCAAGTAAGATAGGAAAATAGAAAATAAATGGTGGTGTCATCTTCATTGAGAAAGTCATTATTTTCAGCAAAATGGGGCAGAGACAGAAAATCCAGTTTGCAGGACTGGGAAAAAGGTGTGTCTGTCCCATGGGACATTTATAAATTGATCGCTATGACAGCAGCACTTTTTAGAGGTAATAATGTTATTAGGGTGTAAAAGTTCTCCAGAAACCCAATAGTCCTGGATTAAAAAATTGGGAAATTGTTTTGATAACACAAATTTTTGTTTCCTACTGTGAAGTCTTCCATGATGTCCCTTGGACCTCTCCTTGACATAGCATTTGCCCAGCCGGCTCCCGCAGTAGAGGACCAGCCTGTTGATGAGAGCAGCCTGTCGATGAGAGGCAGGAGGAAGCTGATGGCCCCGCAGCTCTCCTCCTTGCCTGGGATTCACGTGATCTGGTCCCTCCACAGGTGTCCCGCAGGGCCCATGTCGGCGCAGCTGCTCGATGTGCTCCAGGATGCAGCGGGCCACCACCTCGCCCAGGCAGTTGTCCAGGTAGCAGAAGCTGACCTCGTGCAGACAGGGCACGATGTACTTCGGGGTGAGTTTCTCCAGATTCGGCCTCATGATGTGTCCCAGGGACATCTTGCCGGCAGAGCAGAGGTCGGGGATCCCCAGTGTGCACCCAGAGAGAGAGCAACCTACGCAAAGCCAAAGCACCTGCAGCGTGGCCCGGGGTTCAGCAACCTGCAGCGGCCATAGTCCTGAGCCACTGCAGCACCAGGGACAGGGAAGTCGCCTGCAGCTCTGGGGAGAAGGGATCCCCCGTTCAGGAGCTAGCAGGAGTTGTGCGGGGCTCCATGACCCAGCGCCAGACTGGCGTGGCCAGGAGTCTGAGAGCCCCTTTAGAAGATGCAAAGCCACCACTGCTGCAAGGGTGGCCAGACACCAGCATGTCTTTTCTGTGGCTGCTACAATTTGCCCTTGGCCTGGAGAGGGACAGGAAAGCATGTGGTGGGAGACGGCAGCTCTAGGAAATGGCCCGCCTATGGGCAAAGAGAGCCATGGTCCTTGTGTAATGTTGGGAGTGGGGGACAAATGGCTGTGGAAGGAAGGATTTGTCACGTGTGTGTGTGTGTTGGGGAGAAGTTGGGACTGCAGACGGGGCCAGATTACACAGAGTAAAGGTGCCACTGAATATAAGCTGTGGTTCTTCCTAGTCCCAAATTTAATTCCAACTTTTCTTAAGTGGATTTCTTAGGGAATACTTGAACAGAATATTAACATAAAGAATTGAACCAGTAACCCAAAGACTTCAGTAGTATTATATTCCCTGTTCAATCGAGGGAGAAAATTGAGAGATACGGATTAATTAAGCTGTCAGGTCATAGCATCAGTAAGTGCTGGAGCCGGGCTTTCAACCCAGCCGTGCTGGATTGGCAGTCTGCGCTCTGGCCAGCGCACTCCCCTCCTGGGTCTCAGCCTGGACACATCCGATGGGGCTTGGCGTGGGCCTGGAAGCTTGTGGTGGCTCTGGACGCCCACCATCTGGTGGTTAGAGGAGGAGGCTCCGGTACTGGGAGAGAGGTGGCACTGGGTGACCTCTCAGTAGGCTGCCGTGTAATCTACCCTGGGGACTGGGGCTCAATAGGGAGTAAAAGGAACATTACTAGTTATTAAGCTTGGACAAGAGGCATGAATTAGTACTAACTGTTAGTCTCTTCCAAATTCGGAATAGAGGAGGGGTGTCCTCCGAGGCTCAGGCTAAGTTTTGTGAATGGCCTCCACCAAACTCCCAGTTCCTCATGGACATCCCGGCCCTCCTCCACTTGTGAATAGCCACCAAACCTCCCCACAGCGTCTCTTTCAGGGCCACGAACAGCCGGCACAACTCCTCTGTTTAAAATGATCACTGTTCTCCCGTGTAACCCGATGTAGACATTACGGAAATGTGTTTGGGAAGCTTTATGGAGAAGAGGGTTGGAGGAAAGTCGGCCAGGATTCCGGGGCAGTTTATTCTTCTGTGAGATGACCTTGGCCTTTGCTGGTAAAGATTTAATGCAGTGAGTTTCTAAATTATTCGTGTGTGGCATCAGTGCACAAGTGGAGCTATTTCAGTATATAATATCTCCATTTTTTATTACCATGATTAGATAATTGTGACAGATATTTTCTAGTGGGACCCTGTCCCACAATTTCCTGAAGTGAGGTTTATTTAGGGTGAGGACCCTAGACAGAACAGATGCACCTGCTAAAAGATTATCATGGTAAGGGACCCTAGACTCTCCTTTCCTCGGGAAACACCGTAAAGGTGTTTGATAGACATAAACATTTACCAGAAAATTTGACCAGATCATTATTTTCCTTTTCCAGATTCATCAGTTAATAACATTTCTCTTTCCAGTATTGCTGTTATTATTATTACACTCTTTAAGTTTACACAGAACAGAGTATCTTTAATAAAATAATGCCACAGAAGAACAAATTTGCTTTTTTGGCAGCTCCAATGATTTGATTCTATTCCATTTCTCTTATTTTCTACTTAGTCTGCACCCCCTTTTCTGGCACAATTATGATGGGGTGACATATGATTGGGAACTATGAGAACCCCTAGAATTCCACGGACAATGTTTGAAACACACACTGAATATCTTGGTGACTGGGGTGACAGCAGGTGGGTCTGCTTTGGGTCTGGGCCAAGCATGGACCTGTTCATTCACACACCCCACGCCTCCAGTGTCTGCTGGGCCTGATGTGCATCTTGCAACGTCGGGGCAGGGGAGCTCTCATGCACTACAGCTGTGCTCTCAGGTGGAAATGCAGCCGGACGCTCACAGTCTGTGGGCGCATGGGCTTCTCAGTCCTTCCCCTCCAGTAGCTGCTTTCAGGCCGGACAGACCGTCAGGCATTAGTCAGTCACTGGGTGTATCCTTCTTGGATTAGTAGGAAATATTCACTGAGTGCCTGCTCTGTCCTCTCAGCGTGCAGCGTGCAGAGCGTTCTGGTTCATGTGAACCTGACAGGCCAGGTCTGTGCCATGAGGGGTTGTCTGGATGGAGGGGCGGGAGGGGAGCGAGACTGCCCCTGCGGCCTGGAGCATTCTCTCCAGCGCCAGCCCGCACAGTGCTGATCCTGCTCCATGCTCTTTCTCCCGCCCTGGGCTGGCTCTCCAGCGCGCTGAGTGTCTGGGGGCCTGCTTATTTCACCCAGCGTGGTGAGTGAGCTGAGGAAACCTGGGAGAATATCTGTAGGAAATTATAATTAATACAAATTGAGAAATGGTTTGAAACCGAAGTCCTTTTTGTGCCACACCCTAGTCCCTGCCTAGAGAAGTGTGTGCGGGAATCTGAGCCCTCCAGCCCGGTGCTGCAGCGGCAGGGGAGAGCCTCTGTCTCCACTGACCGGGTGTAATTCCAGTAAGATTCCAATGACAGAGTCAAAAGTACCAGGAGTTGTTTCATGCTTTGTAAAATAACTTAGCCATGTATAAGGCCTTCATTACTTTTGTTGTTTGTAGAATATCTGCTGTGTACTTGATGTGCTCATGGTAGGCTGAAGGAATATCGTCAATGAGATAGTGCATGGTGGCTGCGGATATAGATCCCGGTTTACAGATAATACTGAACAAGTGTGTGTTGTTTGACTACATGCACCACACAAATTCGGCAATAGGAAGGGGATGGTCCTGACTGCAAGCTAGAACATAAGGAGGATGCAAAGGGGAGTAGGAGACTTAGACCTCGCTTATGAAGGCACAGGGTGGGCCTCCAGGGACATCCTCTGCCCTTTGAAGCTCCACAGAGGCTGGCTGTGTGGAAACCTTCCCTGAGCCTGGGCGGTGCTGAAACACCCACTCGCAAGTGTGTAAAAGGACACTTCTTCCCACAGCTACAGACTCTCCACCCTGCTCTCATCACACGCTAGAGCTGCCTGTCCTAAGCCTTCCTGGAAACTTTGCTGCCTAGTTCCGACCACCCTTCTGCATCTTCCCGCCATCTGGACGGAGATGGACAAGTTCCTGCTCGTGCTCTTGCTGCTGGGGGTTTTCCCTCTTCTGTTCTTCCAAGGTGTGAGAGAGGCCTGGGCCAGCTGGGCAGGGGTGAGAATGGGCTGGGGTCGCTGGGGCAGTCTGAGGATGGTGGTCTGACCAGCTTGGGCAGTCAGTGTGGGGCAGGGGAGGTCCAGGTCAGGATTCTGGGATGACCCAACGACTCCTATCAGGGTAAGAGTTCAGGTCTCTTCCCAAGGTCTCAGAGTGGGGCCAGTCAGTCCCTTGGGAAACTTGGGGCTGAGGTGCTCTTCTCAAGTTAGGGCTTTGAGTTGGGCTGGCCAGCCCTGGCTAGCAGAGCCAATGGTTGCTCAAGACAACTTCTAAATTGCTTTCTAAATAGAAGCAGCCCAGGGGCAGTTCTCTAGCAGGAAGAGGTTATTGAAGAGCTTCTCCTAAACCAATGTTTCCACAGAAAGTTCCCTGTGCAATATTTCTATAGTAAGTTTCACTTAGAAATGTTTGTTCATCTTCTACAGCTATCTTTATTCATCTTCTACAGCTATCTTAAAAAGAAAAAAAAAAAAGAAATGTTTGGATATCAGATTCCTTTGGGGGAGGTGTGGTGATAAATCTTGTGAAATTGCTTCTACACCTTGGAGCCAGGACAGTCCTTGTACTTCATCCATTTTCCAAGAGATTACCTGCCCCAGGGAGGCTGTATGTAGTGCTCTGATTGTGCTCTGCACAATGACTTCATAGCCAAGGGGAAATCTTTTACCTTATTTTCAATAAAATTATATCCCTATGTCAAATCCTCAGCTCCTTAAGGGACTAATGGATGAAATCTGATGGGAGCATTTACACGTTTGATTATCTTGGAGGATATTGTTAAGGTCATTCTTTGCCCTTGATGTCCTGGGCCCTAAAGACTGTCTTAGCCTAAATTCATTCCAGTCCTTTCAGCCCTGAGCTCAGCCTTCATGTCTGTTTTCCTCAGCTGAAGCCACCTCATGCATGGTCTGCAACGAATTTAGGAAGGACCGTTGTTTTCAAGGCAAGGGCACCTGCACTGTGGAAGGCAGCTCCAAATGCAGAACCAAGAATGTCTTCATTTTCTGGGAGAAAGGTACTGCTGGAGAGCTGGTTTGAGGGAACCCTTGCTGGGCGGGGGAAGTGTTCCCACTCTGGAGACCAGGCTGGGCAGGGGCAGGAAAGATCTTCCTGTTCTGAGGTGCAAGTCTTGTTTCTGGAACTCACTGTGAATGCCTTTCTCTTCCAGGTGGGTGGGTCTACAACCACAGTGAATTGGACTGCACACAGATGTGTTTACCTTCACATCTGTATTATCCGGCCCTGAAGGTCGTGACCTTATGCTGTAAAGATCAAGATTACTGTAATAAACATCAAGGAGAAATAGAGAAGGTGAAGACTCACTAACTGCTGCCTCCTTGGCAGTGCTGGTTTGTCCCTTCACCTCTTCCTGTCCCTGGCACCTCTGGTCCCGCATCTCCCTCCTCGTGTGCTCCTGCTGAACGAGTGGTGTCCTCGCATGGCCTCCAACTGTCCCTCCTCACTTCTCTCCTGGCCCTGGCTTCTTTCCCCCCAGGAGGACACCAGGCACTGTCCGTTCACCCTGTTTCTTTCTCTTCTTCATTCACATCTGAAAGTCACCATGAGCCCTCCCTGCCCACGTTTCCTCAGCCCTCACAGTCACCACATGGCTCTGGCTCAGGAACTGCCCAGCTTCTCCTCCCACCAACATAGAAGTGACTGCAGAGTGCCCAGAAAGGTGATGGGTTCCTTTTCATACACCAAGAGTCAGAGGGGTCAGTGGAAAACTCGGGAAAACATGTCTAATTGGCAGATGGACAGAGAGGTCTTTAAGTCCAGGAAGATCTCAGGACCGAGGCCGACAACTTGGGATCATCAGCTGACATGCTACCTACATGCCCAGACCTACTGACAGCTTAAGTTGTGGGGCGTAAAGAGGCCAAGGCCGTCCAATGAGCTGAGTGACAACAGGGGTGGCTGAGTCACAGACACTAGAGACCACACAAACAACACGGAAGGGAAGGCCACTCTCCAAAGAGGGATGGGTTGTGATGGGACAGGTAGGAGGGGAGCCCGGACTGAGTGGCATCACTGTTTGCTTTGCCAGGTGGAGGCTCTGGGTAGGGCAGGCTCAGTGGGGAAGTGGGACTGAAGCCACATCCTGGTGGGCGAGGAGTGAATGGGCTGGGACAGGAGGAGACAGTGAGTGTGGGCAGCTCTTCCAAGACGAGTGGGAAGAATGGAGAGAGTGGACTGTATATTTTTTAAGGAGAGTGAGTTTAGCATGATTTTAGGCAAGTTTTTCACATCCCTTTAATGTAATAATCCTTTTCTTATGACTGCAGGAGTCTGTGTCATCATCTCATTATCTCATGTATATTTACATACTTTTTCTTCCCTCTATGATTAATATATCCTGCCTAATTTGTTCATCTTTTCCTTTATTTTTCTTTTACTTTTTACCTTTTTGTCTTTATTTTTTGCTGTCTTTGTCTTTACCTTTGCAGTTCATTATGGGAAAATGGAGATTATTATTTGTGTTCTTAAATTACTTATTGGCTATTTTCTATTTAAGATTTAAAGCAAAGTAAATGACACATTTCACATTTCTCCTAAAAATAACAAAAATAAATTCATTTTCTGTGACTTTTGTTTAGCTAAAAATTTTTCCAACGCATCCAAAAAAATCCTAAAAGATTTACTTTTCTATCAGAATGTCTAAATATTTTCATAGGTTTTTTCCTCTAAATTTGAGATGAGATAGGAAATAAAAGAAAAGGCTGGCTGCATCAGACACTGTGGGGCATGCTCTAATATAGAATTTTGTTATCCCTTTGTACTCGGATGTCGAGTGTGGATAATGTCGAGTGGATGATGAGAAAAAAAGCAAGTGAGTGCAAAGGGTTATTAAATGCTAGAATGTCAGTAACACCAACAGCAACATCAGTGATGATAACCCTAACCCAAATATTCCAGTGTAAATTAAGCTATGTCTCTTTACGTCTGTTCTCACCAAAAATTACTATGGTTGGGTCTCAGTAGTGGACGTAGGACCAATGAGAGGGATTTTCATTAATATCAATTTTTAAGTTGCTTTTATCACCTCCTAGACATTAGGATGGCTACTACCCAAGAAGACAGAAAACATGTGAGGGCTCAGATATGGACAAATAGGAACACCTGTGCACTGTTGGTTGGTGGGAATGTAAAATAGTGCATGCAGCAGCTGTAGAAAACAGTATAACTGTTCCTCAAAAACTTAAACATAGAATTACCATATGATCCAGCAATTTCTCTTCTAGATATACCCAAAAGAATAGGAAGCAGGATCTGGAAGAGAGTTGCACAGGCATATTCATAGCTACATTATTCACAATAGCCAAAAGGTGGCAGCAACCCACGTGTTCACTGACAGATGAATGGATACATAAAATGTAGTATTGGCATCTCATGTAATTTTATTCAGCATTAAAAAGGAATGAAATCCTATAAAATGCTACAACATTATGCTAACATTATTTGTGAAATAAACCAGTCACAAAAAGACAAATACTATATGATTCAACTTATATGAGGTATCTAAAGAAGCCAAATATATAAAAACAGAAAGTAGAGTCGGGGCTGCCAGGCTTGGGGAGAAGAAAAGGGAAGTTGTTGTTTAATGAGCACAGAGTTTCAGTTTTTCAAGATGAAAAAGTTCTGGAGATCTGTTGTACAACAATATGAATAAACTTAAGATTGCTGAATTGTTCACTTAAAAATGGTTACAATGGTAAATTTTATTTGCGTTTTTATGACAATTAAAACATTTTAAAGGTAGTTAAAAAGACACAATTCTACTCCTATCAATTAAAAAACCCAAGAAAGCAAAAAACTCCTTGTCTTTTCTTAACCCCTTTCTACTCATGACCAATGTAAATTCAATGGCCATTATAGAAAATTTGGAAAATATAAATATATGTACTAACAGAAAATTTAAAAACTCTTGCAAAGGCACTGTACTTAATAACTTGCTCCAAGGAATATCACATGGAAATGGACAAAAAAGTAACTTTACAAGGAAAACAATCCTTCAGCCCAGTGAGCAAAGCCATCATCATCAGAGATGAAGCAGGCTGAGATCAGGTACCTTTGATGTGAAAGGAATGGCACTGCACTTCCGTGATCCTTCCCCGCGCTCTGGGCTCATAACCCCTCTCTAACCATGAGAAAAACATTGGATAAACCCAAACCAAAGGACGTTCTGCAAAACTCCTGTCCCATACTCCTCAAAATTATCAACATCATATAAAACAGGGAAAGTCTGAAAAAACATGTGGCATCTTGGGAGGGGAAACAAGACTTTTGGCAAGAGGAAGACACTAATGAAATCTGAATAAGGTATGGAGTGTGGTTACTGATGATGAACCAGGTGTCCCAGGTAAGCAGAGAACGCTCCCCTGGGGGCGCTGTCCAGTGCTTCTGGGCTGTGATTGGGCTGCCTTGTGATTTCCATTGCTGGGATCTTTCAGGTCTGACACCCTCCAAATTCATCTTGTCCCTTCCTGTTTCTGAGGGTGGAGGGAGCATGAGGGACAATGCAGGAAAAGCCGGTTGGGAAGGAGATACTCCTTCTCCTTGGGCAGGGTAAACTGGAAGATGTTCGTATTATACCAATTGTATTAAAAGTTTTGAGATAGTAGTAAAAAAAAAAAAAAACCCTCCTTGAAACATATAGCCAACAAAAATAACAAAATACAAAACCAAAAACTGATATTGATGTTTCTTTAAAAACTGACTCTGATGTTTCTTTTCATGTGAATTCTACAAATATCTCAAGAATGGATCATCTTTATCTTCTGAAAGTTTTCCCAGGAAGTAGAAGCAAAGCCAAAGCTACCCATGTTCTTCCATGAGCCCAGAGTAACATTGACTCCAAATTGAGATATTTATAATAAAAAATTATAAACCATTTCATTTATGAATGTCAATGAAAATTCCTAAATAATCAGTTATCCAACTCCAAATAAATTTCAAAATAATACATCATGATAAATAAGGGATTTTTCCTGGAATGGAAAAATCAACAGAAACTCTTTCAATCACTTTCCATTAGTAACCTAAAGGAAATAAATCATGATAGTCTCGATTCATGAAAAAATCATTTTATGAAGTTCAGAATTTATTTATAGGCAATGACAACAAAAACAATACCCCTGTGGCAAATTAGGAACTAAAAAAAATGTTTTCTTTAACTTGATAAAGATGATACCTCTGTGACCTCCCCTGCCCCAAACTCCTATGGCAAACTTTGGACTTAGAGACATTTTAGATCCATTCCTTTTATGATGGGAAATAAAAAAAAAATCCTATTGATAAACCACCAGAGTGTGTTTCATATTCAGACTGTCAATAAAGCTCACAAAACACAATTGGTTTATCCAGCAAAATTTACCTAGAAATGATACAGGACAGGGAGTGTACGAGCTTCATCGTTAGCAGCATTACAGCAGCTTTGAAACTCAGAACCATATTTCTTTGTCTGCAGTCACCACACATATGAGACACTTTGGCCAGAAAAATTGGAGTTTTCTAGTGGACATTTATATGGCCTCTTTTAATTTTTTTTCCTTGGAACTCTTCTAGGAATTTTTATGATTTTATTATTTTTATTTTCCAATTGTCCAGGGCCACATGCCTCACAAAACAGCAGGACAATTATTCAGGGCCAAGGAGTCTGTACATATCGAGACATGACCAGGGGGATGAGAACCCAGTCCCACCTGCACTGTCACACATGCGTCACTCTTCATTCTATTTGTCATGTGGGTGTATACTTCATCCTTTCTCCACAGCTGAACTATCTTCAGGGAAGAGGACAACAGAATTCCCAACCACATTATGTTCTTCAGTTTTGGAATTTCCAGAGTTCTCCTATCAGGAAGAGGATCTCAGGGGTTAGATTATTTGATAATAGAAGTTACAAAAGAAAATACAAATTATCAATAAAACTAGTATGCCTGTATCAAAACATCACATGTACTCTCTAAATATACACAACTATTATGGACACATAATAGTGAAAAAATAAAAGAAAATTCCCAGGAGTTCAATTGTTGAATCATATAGTAATTACATGCTTAGTTTGATAAGAAACTTCCAATTTGCCAGAGTGACTATACTATTTTAATTTCCATTAGAAATGTATAAGATTTTGTTTCTCTGTATTTTCACCAGCATTTGGTATTATCACAATTTTTTTTATACTGACCATTCTGTAAGTATGTAGAATGTGGTTTTAATTTGTAATTCTCTATTGTTTAATTATGTTAAACATCTTTTCATGTCCTTATTTCCCATTCATATTTCCTTTTTTTTTTGCTTATTTTCCAATTGGATTCCTTATA